CCCCAAAACCCCAAAACCCCAAAACCCCAAAACCCCAAAACCCCAAAGGTTAATCAAGAGCTTGAATTGTATTATAAGGAACCATCTCAGTTAGAATAATTAACTGTTAGCATCCTTAGGAGGACTAGCTGATCTCTCCTCCTTTTCTTCAGCCTCATCACGATGTGTAGGGGTTTCTCTCTTAAATAATGAGTCACTACTCTGGATAGTATCGTTGATAGCCCCTGGTAAGTCATTTTGTTTCTCATGAGTATTCATTCTTTCATATGTTTTAAAGTCGAAAGAAATCCGAACTTCGTTTCTTTTGGAATTATAAAAGTTTTCTTGTGTAGGTAGCATGTTTATCCCAGAGACTGCATCTGAATTCTTAAATTTAGACTCTTCCATCCTACCAAGAGTGTCAATTCCATTACTAGCCAGGTTTGGATCTTCAGGTTGTTTCGTTTTAATTTCTTCAGGCTTTACTTCATTCGAACGCTTCATGCCATTCTTTAGACGACCGAACCAAGTCTTATTCGCATCTCTCGGTTTCCTCTCTGGAGGATTTGATTTCTGACTTTCTGCTTGTGAAGGAGCTGATTTTAGTTGATTTTTAGATGCTTCCTTTGTATCTTTAGTCTCTGACAACGCTTTTATAGCAAATTTAGCACTTTGGTTTAATTTTTGTTCTTCTTTCTTCTTATCCTTATTGCCTTTCCTCTTCTTCCAAAAACTAGGAGTATGTGCAAACTTAGTCTGTCACTTCCTCGACATATTGAGAGTCATATCCCAAGACTCACTGGCTTCATGGAGTTCTTCCTGTATGGACTTCAAGCTGTCGCTCATACTTGGCATGGAATACTCCTCTTCCTCATTCTTCTCTTCTAGCTCGACCAAAGCTTTGAACCAGAGCTTGGCTCTCTTCATCCTTTGGGTTTTATTGTCAGTAGGCATATTTTCAATTTTTGAAATTCGATTCTGTGTTTCCTGTATCTCTTGCTTTTCCTTATTCCTCTTTGTTTGGGGGTCCTTGCTTTCATTACTCTTGTTAGGGTCTTCAACATGAATGTTCCTCACAATTCCTTGGTTCTTGATATATTCCAGCTTCTCGTTAGATAAGATACTTGTAGTAGCTATCAAGAAAGCAATGAAAGAGATTACAAGCGAACATGAGCTGAAAAAGATCGAGACGTAGACTGTGACCGATTTAGTCCCCTCCTCACTGATGATGTAATATAGCTGGATCCAGAATTGTGGTAAATCCTCGGTAAAGCATTTCAGGAAGGCTAATAATTTTGGGATATGTACCTTAAATACCAAAGAATTTTGTGTAATAGGTCAGTGAGAATCTCTCCATTACTAATGCTAAACATCTAAACTCTCCTCAAAGTAAGAGTCTTGCAGTCTGCTCTGAAACAGGATACGCTGAATTCTTGCTATGAATGTAGAAAAATAGCTTTACGAAGGAATATATATTGTACGAAATTGACACCCCAAAAAAGAAAAAGCTTAGCAATGCAATCTTAGGGTATCCTCAATCTCTAGCTTCTAGTGCGAATGCGACATCAGTATATAAATCGGCTTTTGCGATTACTCCAGAAACAAAGAACCATGAATTAATAACGATGGCTATAAAAAGGTAGTAATCTTTGAATTAGCAGTTTCTTTCTGATCCCCAATAGCTTCTTTGAGAATCTTCAACAGGATATCTTTAGGAATAGCCCAGTAGAAAAGAAAGATTTCAGCAAGAATACTTATGAAGAGTAGTACCCACATTATGTAATGAGCATTCCATTTAATGCCTTGACCTCAAGCATCCTTGAAAGTTGGAGGAATCGTGATACAGACAAATAAGATTGTAAAGAAGTTAATGTATGCAAACAGGATCATGAGTCTAAAATTGATGAAACGCTGGTCCTCAGGCTCCATATAGTAATCCATAGCTCTGACCACTCCTCTGATTTCTGAGAGCAGAATATTAGGGTTGAACAGCTCGGGTTCCTTAAAATGACCCTCAATGATGTCAATATCCATCTTCACTGAGCATTGTTCGTCTATATGAGTGAAAAAGATGCCTTACGGATTGCATACAGAATCTTGTAATCAAACTCAGTCAGGTTCCGTCTCAATTTCATCTGAATTCGTAACACACGCTGCTCCTCTTCCTCCTCAGGATCTTGGTTCTCAAGATCTATGAAGGGTTGAGTCTGACCTAAATTTTTATCGGGTCGATGAGCCTTCCTTGAGTTAGTATGGTTAGTGTCTATTTGTCAAAGCAGAAATTTACCACTAGTATTTACAGTCTTGGCTCCTTCAACCTTTGCCTCATCTTCTTCCGTTTTCATACTTTTTCGAATCTGCTGCTTCTTGAGAGAAAGAATTCTTGATGTCTGATAGTTATCATTTCATTTCAGTACATATTGATACATGCTCGATGGCATTGGATTGTCACAATCAGAGTAATAAATCAATAAGAAATTGGCTAGCTTGATCAATTTCCTCGTGCTAATACTCACCTTTCCAAAATTGATCAAGTCAATGTATAGGTATAGATAATCCTTCCTCATAACCTCAAGGAACCTCCTGAAATAGATCTTCAGATCAGGCTTTGAGAAATCTAGGCCAAATACTTTATTGTCTTTTCATGAGAGTACTTCGATGAGGCTCTCCCAGTCTTTATCAGTGATGATAATGTTAAAGGAAATGATCTTGAACATCCTCATGCAGACTTTGGAGTGCTTGACGCTCACCTTAGTTCAGTTAAGCAGCTCATTTCCTTTATAAGTAATCACAATGTCCTTGTTCAGGTGAAGTTCATCCTTCAAATCCATTAATTCTTCACTGTACTCCTGCTGATATTCTTCCTTCAGAAATTTGAACTTATGGACACTGATGATCTTCTTAAAGTTCATCAGAAGGCTATAATTTAGGTCAGGTACTAGGCTAGCGGAGACTGAAGGTCTCAAGAATGTTGAAAATCTAGGATGGTTTTTCAACAGTTAGGATCACCAACTTACTACTTAAAGTTTCCCATAAAAATAGTAACTTGGTCTTCAGTCCAATCCTGCTCCATTTCTAGAACATGTAAATAGTAAAGTTCCTTCACAGATTTCACAATTTTGTTGAACCATTTAGCACGGTTTATATGACAATTGTTTAACCTGAGCTCTTGTAGCTTGCATCAGCCTCCCAAGAAATTGCACAACTTGTTGACATGTTCTCGCTTTTTGCCAAACTTGATCTCAGATAGGTCTAGTTTTAACATACGTCCTTCGAAATTTAGTTCACGCTAAAAGATATCAGAAAAATGGAATTCCAGTTGAACATAAACTTCTTGTAAATTTCATCCAAATTGGACAACTTAGTCAATTCTCCTCCAAATTTCAAGCTACAAATAGGGGGTTTAGGAAGACAAATTGGAAAATGTCCAGGTGAATGTTTTATTTTGGTGCTACTATCCAACTGAAAACTTGTTTAGAATTTGCCACCACCAAGCAATCAACAGTTGATTTTAGATAAATCACTTACAGAATATGGAAGGGGGTCTCTAATGTTAGGAACGAGTCTTCCAAATGTGATTATTAGCTCGTCTAACCGCTCCCAGTCTCGCTTATCCTCTTTATTGTTTCTAAATTATAATCATCGTAAGGGAGATTATTTAGGTGAGGTATACATGACTGTAATGAAATATTCTTGGAGAATATCATATGCTGATAAGCCACCACTAACTCAAAGCAAGAAATCAAATGAAAACCAATGCTCACCCTGTAGTATTAAAGTTATCAGGATTTGGCAAGATGATTGATGCTCTACCACGCCCAGTGGATTGTTTAGATTCTCCTTTCAAGTCCTATAGCCAAAATTAGTCTCAAAGTTGGCACAAATCCTCTAATAGCTTATCAAAATACTCGTTGAGGTACTTACAGCAATCTGAAAGATTGATTTTTGGCTTCCAGACATAATTATTTTTAATGTTATTATATTCAATAAAAAATTGCCTTTATGGGGTTTTGGGGTTTTGGGGTTTTGGGGTTTTGGGG